ATGACGGGGAATATGTGTGTGTTAATCCAGTCTAGCAAGTGTTTCGTTCTTGAAGCAATAGTTTAAATCACGGGTGAGATATCCGTCTGTGCAGCGGACAGTAATGCATCAGTGCATGCTTTTTGCATTCTCTGCCACTAACTTCACACTTTATAATTTGGTTTTTACACTTTTCAGAGCCAAATATGAGAATTGACAATAAAGCATGACACTGAAATGCATTATTGCCAGAAAACTGCAGGAAAACTCATGTTTTAATTTACCATTCGTTTGAGTGACAGCTTTCATTGCCCTCCCAAGCCAATAATTCATTTAACGAGTGGCAACTTAAAATAGTTCAACTTTAATTTGTCCCATTGTTAGAGTCATTTGGATAAGTGTGGGGGAAATAAAGGACCTCCGAATATCAGCCCTGGTGATTAACCAGATAACTGTGATAGTTTGTGTCTAGAATTGGATGATAAGTGGTTGGGTTAGTGAATATAACCTACTGTAGAAGGAAATAACATCCATTAACACATCAATATGTTATGCTTAACTGTCCACTGTAATATTCACCATTCATTTAAACTATCGATTTAATAAATATAGGCTATACTTAGACGTCTATATGTCAGTTCATTTCATGGATGGTTTGTAATTTGCAAAGCAGTTGAGATACACAGGCCTCACGCACTGTAACAATTGATAAATAATATTCAGGCTCTCATTTAATATCAAAATGTTCACATCGCACTTTATGTGTACCGTGTAACAAATTTAGGTCGCAAAAACGTTGTGGGAACACTGTTTTGACGTTTCTAAAACACCAAAGAGTTCTTATAGCATTCTACTAACTTTATTTCCCCCCAAAATATAGTGTTATTTAAACGTTTATTTTTAATATTCTAAAAACGTTAAAATGTCCAGTTTTCTTGTCGTGATTAGAAAAGAAAGAAAGAGAAAGAAAGAGAAAGAAAGAAAGAAAGAGAAAGAAAGAGAAAGAAAGAAAGAGAAAGCAAGAAAGACTTTAAACGTTTATTTTTAATATTCTAAAAACGTTAAAATGTCCAGTTTTCTTGTCGTGATTAGAACGTTATTTGAAAGATTATAAAAAATGTTTCTTATTCATCAGGTACAAATAACATCAAGGACATTCAGAGAATGTTGTTCTAAGAATGTTTCTTCATATTTTTCTGCGTGTTTCCATAACAGGTTTGCGCAAAACTTTGGCGAAATTTTATAAGCGTCGAAATGATGGCGTTTCCTTTAACCAATGTTATGCAACTAAAACGTTAGTTTTTCCTCTCGCGATAAGTCACGGCAACGGATTTTGACTATATTTATTCGAAGGAGGCATAGACTATGAATGTATCTTTGCCGAAGCCGTGCGGAGAGCCACTTCGGAAACTTAATTTTTTGCTTTTTTTGCGATAAATGGGAGTTTTTGCGAAATTGAGCGTTTCCATTAGGCGTATTTTCAATTCGCAATTTTAATTTGCACAATTTGAAGGGTAATGGAAACACAGCTATTGTTGTCATAGTTTCCACCTAAATATCACGTTTTACACAGTTTGAAGAAAGCAGTCATTGGTCCGAAAATCGGCGCGGAGGCGCATGCGCAGAGTGTGACATACAGTTTGCGTTTCCTTACAGTAGTAACATCGGGTTTTTACGATTTTCTATAGAGCAAAACGCAATTAAAACTGTGAAAGTTTGAAAACGCTTTAATATTTTTATATAAATTTGTATTTGTATACAGCCCCTCTAGTGTATAATTGTTTATAATCATGTATAGCGTAGTGTTTATTGCTTATATCATGTAGCTTATAATGTTTAATTGTAATTAATGTAATCAAATGTAAAAAAAAAAAAGTAACATCGTTTTTATTAATAATCTACGTAATATTTTATCTAAAATCGAAAGATTATTTGTCTGTTTAAAATTAATGTAGGCCTACATTATTTTAATTTAAGCAAAACTCAAAGATAATGTAAACATTCATAATAACAAAATAATATAGGCCTACATTAACCACAACTATCTCACTGAACCTCTGTTTTACACAAGATATTTAATGAAATATTTAATGGTTTATACACTGAGAGTTTTGGAGCTGTGTGCATCAAAACG